GTGCTTGATGTCTGGGTCAGGGAGGAGTGGGGGACAGGGTCTGGCCACCAGTGAGGACAGGGTCAGGGCTGAGCTCAGCCTGCTGCTCCTCAGACCCTAGGAGGTACTCTGTGAATGCACACAGAAACAGGGGGAGCCACCAGCTCGGCAGCCCCAAAACGCTGACCTGTGTAAGCAGCTGGGTTCATGTCCTCTCAGCCCCAGGAAAGACTCCCAAGACAATCACAATTACACTCAGGGAGGTTAAATAAGTCAACTTGGTATCACACAGAAAATAGGAAATAAAGATATGAATGACATCCACCTTGGCATATTCACCCTCTCCTCTATGACTGTCAGGGCCACTCTTCTGCCCCACATGTGCCATTTGGCCATAGAAAAGTGGAAATAGGGCTGGAGAGATGGCTCAGAGGGTAAGTGCACTGGCTGCTCTTCCAGAGGTCCTGAGTTCAATTCCCAGCAACCACAGGGTGGCTCACGACCAGCTATAGTGAGATCTGGTGCCCTCTTCTGGTGTGCCGGTGTACATGCAGGCAGAATGCTATATAAATAATAAATGAATAAATCTATTAAAAAAAAGAAAAGAAAAGTCGATACCTTGCCTGTGCATGTGCGTGTGGACGGAGGTGGTGACTTAGCCTGTGGAGGCTTCCGGGAAGAGGTAGCATTGTTAGCAGAGCTCTGGTGACATTAGTCCTGGGAACCCTCTGGGGTTGGGGTGGGGGGACTTTTGTCCTCGCAGCCAGCTTCCTGCCTTCCCCTCCATGTCTTGGGATCCCACAAGGCAGCCTACCCTTCCTGTCATTCCAGTTCTCCTTGGTGCAGCCAGGGGAGACTCGGCAGAGGAAGGGCGTGTGGGGTTTAAAAGCAGCTGCCTCACTGCGCTGTCAGGTGTGGGTGTAGGAGTGTGGTCCATGGGCACACAGAGGGACTGGCAGAGGCAGAGGCAGGAGCCAGCAGGGGAGGAGAGGTGCTGCACATCTGGAGCCAGAATGTCCACTAAAGGCAAACAGCCAGAACCTGAGCAGGGGTAGGTGAACCTGCTGGCAGAGGAGCCTCGGGGCTGTAGGTTGGGGCCTGGGGCTGATGAAAATGGGATGCTGGGGTCACAGGACAGGGGATGGCCAGAGCCAAGGGCTGAGACTACCAAGGCGCCTAGGACTGCAGAGTGATAGGTGGACCAGAGCTCACAGCGGAGGTGTGGCCTTGCCCTTCCCTGTCTTTGGGAGCCTTGCACCTCTGTGAGAGTTTCCTGGAAACACCAGCTTTCCTGGGGTACAGGCGACAGAAGGCAGCTGGGGTACATGGGGACCCGGTTGAGGTGTGGCCAGATTGTTAGGAAAAGGGGATTTAGCTGGGTGGTGGCCCACGCCTTTAATCCCAGTGCTCTGGAGGCAGAGGCAGGTGGATCTCTGAGTTCGAGGCCAGCCTGTCCAGGACAGCCAGAACTGCACAGAGAAACCCTGTCTAATAAGAGACAGAGACAGAGAGAGACAGAGAAAGGGACTTCTTGGGAGTCCAGAGCTGAGTTTCTGGTTTCATGTTTAAAAAGCCACATTGGGACAGAATGGCACAAGCCTGTAATCCCAGAGCTCTAGGGACTGAGGCAGGAGGTTATGTAGTAAAATTCTGCATCAAAAACAAACAAAAAAACAAAAGAAAGGTTCCAGGCATCTCAGTACAAGGAGTCCTCACCCAGTGTGCAAGAAGAAATCCTGGGCTTCATCCTAGCACTGTGCAAATGGATCATGTCAGTCTTAACTCCTAGCACTGGGAGGAGGCGGAGGCAGGAGGATCGAGTTCAAGGTCATCCTTGGTTGCATTTCAAGTTTGAGGCCAACCCAGGCTGCGTACATTCTGACATCGTGCTGAGGGTGTTTGAAGGGTGTTCCTGTGTTTCCTGAACTGTTATATTCTTTAAATTTTATTTTTACATTTGCTTAATGTGTGTGTTTGCACCAGCAAGAATGTGCAAGCGCTGTGGAATGGCTGTGGAGGGTGGAGACAGCTTGCGTGAGGTTTTCTCTCCTTTGATGACCACGTGGGTTCTGGGTATCTGAACTCAGGGCGTCAGGCTCGGCGGCCACTAACTGAGACATCTACCGACCTCAAGTGTTACATTCTTACTGTAGAAAATCTTGAAGCGACAGAAAGTTGTTGATGATAAAAGGCATGGTCCTAGCACTTAGGAGCAGAGACAGGGGGATTGCTATAAGTTTGAAGTTACACAGAGAGTACCAGGTAGCTAAGGCTGCATAGTGGGACCCGTGTATAAACACACCCACACAGGGCTGCAGTGATGCCTCTGGGTAAAGAGCTTGCCACACAAGTATGAAAGCCAGGGTTGAGATCCCCTCCACTCAAGAAAAAGCTGACTGGGTGTAGCAGCCCGGGTGTTAATCCAGTGCTCAGAAACCAGAGAAAGGGGACCCCTGGGCCGGCCTAATTAGCTAACCTTGCCAAATTAGTGAGCTCTAGGGACAGTGAGAGACCCCTCCCCGGTAAATAAAGAGGACCATTGGAGAAAGCCGTGCTAGGCCGAAGCCTCCACACACATGTACACACGCACCTGTACATACACATGAACCCACATGTTTAAACACACACACACACACACACACACACACACACACACACACACACACACCGTGGACTTCCCCCTGGCACATGATCATAATGTTGGTGAGAGAAGAGGCCTGTGGGGTCCAGAGACCCACTGTTTAGCAGCCACTGTGAGCAGGGCAAATCAGTTGGCCTCTGGGAGCCTCAGTCTCCTCATCCTTACAAGGGGGGTAGCAGAATCGGACAGGCACTTTTACCCCACTCAGGAGGAGTAGACATCACTCTTCCTTCCAGCTTTGTTCCTCGTCGTATCTGATGCCCACAGAATCCACACCAGCTCCCATGTAGCAGGCCCCATCAATGCAGCTGGCCCCCCACACCCCATTCCTCAAGATCTGCACCCCAAGGCTCTGTACCTGTTGTCCGACATTCACAACGCCCAGTGCCCCCGTATCCTCACTGCAGTCACAGCCAGATGCCTGCTCTGGACATGCCTGTGCCTGCTCTGGAGATGCCTGTGGCACGCTGAGCCTGTATAACTACAGTCCCATGCCATGTAACTGACGTGTCGGTCAGTGACAGCCACTGTGCACAACAGTGATCCTGTAGATTATAACCAGGCTGAGTGAAGCAGGCTGCCCCACATGAAGGAGCCCAGGGTCCTCAACACACCCCAGGTTGAGCCCCACAAAGCAGGAGGACGAATGGGCAATGCTAAAGCAAGGCCAGCATGGCCAGGAGCCTATGCAGCCCGGCAGGGAGCGCTGGTGATACTGGTACCCCAGAAGGAGCTCTCCTGTAGAGGCCCGGAATGCTCTAGGGCATGGCTCATGGGCCAATTGTTCCAGCTGTCCAGGGAGGCGGGAGCCAAGCGGCCCCAGCCAGGCCCAGCTTCCCCAGGGAGTCCCTTCAGGGAACAGCCCCTGGTCTTTCTGGGAAGGGTCTCGGTGGGGTCCTATCTAGCCCTGACAGGAGGTGAGTCTGCTCAGGGACAGCCCTCACCAACAGTGCTGTCACCTCCCACAGGCCCTGGGGGAAGGGGTCTGAATGTGGAGGCCTCAGGAAATCAGCAGCACTGCCATGGGGAGGAGGCCATGTCTGTGTTCTTCTGTCTCCCCACAATCCTCAACTGGGACGGCCCCTGAGAGCCTGCAGTGGCTGCGCAATTTTGCCTCTGGTTCTCCCTTTTTTATTTTTAGTTTAGTTTAGTTTAGTTTAGTTTAGTTTAGTTTAGTTTAGTTTAGTTTAGTTTAGTTTAGTTTAGATTAGTTTAGTTTAGTTTTGGTTTGGTTTTTTGAGACAGGGTTTCTCTGTGTAGCCCTGGCTGTCCTGAACTCACTTTGTAGACCAGTTGGCCTCGAACTCATAGAGAGCTGCCTTTTTCTACCTTAAGGATAGGCTCTACCTTTCTGTCTGTCGCCCCACAAGGGGCACTGTCCTGAGAGCTCTGTCCACAGGGAGCCCTGTCCTGAGAGCCTTGTCCACAGGGAGCACTGTCCTGAGAGCCCTGTCCACAGGGGGTGCTCAAGAGTTCTGTCCACAAGGGACACTGTAGTGAGACTTGTGTCCACAGGAGGGTGCTGTCCTAGGAGCGCAGTCCACTGGGTGATGTTATAAAAACTCTATCCACTGGTGGCAGAGGGGATGGAGAATGGGGAAGGCTGTCCTGAGAGGACAGACGACTCGACACAGTGATGTTTAAGCCTGCCAGATACCGTTACCCCATTGGAAGTATGAGGAGACTGACGCTCCAAGAGGCCCTACAGGAACTCTGCCCCAGAGGGCCCTGTTTCCTGTTTCGTAGCTGTTCCACAGGAAGTGCTGTTTCAAGCGTTCTAGTCACAAGGGTCTGTTGGCATTAGATGAATGGCGTCCACAGCGGATACTGAAGAAGGTGATGGCCTGCTGAGGCCCAGGGGAAGCCAGAGATGCTGGTGGGGGAGGGGCCTCAAGGACATGCAGCAGACACAAAGCACACATCTGCATTCTCTCAGGTCATCACAAAGAGCAAGAGTACAGACACACACACACACACACGCATGCACGCGCACACGCATGCACACGCACACATCCTGATACACATAAAAACCCTGACCCACAGACTCAGGCTGGAGAGCCTTGTTCAGACACATAAAGACGTGAACACAGGCACTCAATTGCACGTGGATACACAGATGTAAACTGACTTTTCGGCCTTGTGAGTTGGCTCCTACATATCATTTTAGCTCTGTGGGAAGTAGAGGCAGGATGATCGGGAACTCACAGGTCACTTCTAGCTGTGTAATACAGCGGGGGTCAGCATGAACTGCATGTCTCCAAATATCAACCAACCACAAAAATAACAGAACAAACAAAAAACAACCCCCCCATGTCCCCCAGCTTCAGAAGCGCTCAGCCCCATTGCGGCGCCTGGCGTATTAACTGCCCCATGTTGTAGGATGGACCCTTTTGAGGAAACGCTGCGGAGGCTGAAGGAATCCTTCAACACAGGGAAGACAAAGCCGGCCAAGTTCAGGGCTGAACAGCTGCAGAGCTTGGGCCGCTTCCTACAGGACAATAACAAGCAGCTGCATGATGCCCTGGCGGGGGACCTGGGCAAGGTGCTGTGGGCTGTGGGGGCGGGGGGGGGCAGCATGTATCCTTGGAGACCCAGAGGGGCTAGAAAATCCCTCCCAGGCCAGCTACAGGCTTTCTGAGTGAAACCCTGAAACGTGGTTGGCTGTGTTCACAAACTGTATCTTGCTCATGTGTTTCCTGCCTTGTATGCAGTGAATACAAGGCAGTGTTCACCCAGGAACAGAGACACTGGCCCACTCTGTCCCTGAGAGCCAGCTTGATGGCTGTTCTCAGGTCGGTCACAAATAGGGAAATTGAAGCACTTGGGTTAAGCCACTCCCCCAAAGTCTCAAAGCCAAGCAGTGGCGGTCCGGAACTGCAGTCCCCATGGGACCACCATGCTGTCCTTACACTGTTCTCCTATGTGCTCAAGGGGGCTGCCTCATGCCCTATCCAAGTGGTAGAGCCCAGCCCAGCCTTGAACCTGCTCTCCCCACAGTCAGCCTTCGAGTCAGACATGAGTGAGATCATCCTGTGCCAGAATGAGGTGGACCTGGCCCTCAAGAGCCTGCAGACCTGGATGAAGGACGAGTCTGTGTCCACCAACTTGGTGAGCCCCGTTGGCTGCGTCACGGTGGGTGAAGGTGTCAGAGGGATGGCAGGGCATGGAAACAGCCTGCCCAGGCCCCTTCCTGCCCTTGAGACCAAAGTAAGACAGTCTTCTCATTTGGGGACTCCATTACCCAGGAATGTGAGGACCCGTGTGTGTGTGTGTGTGTGTGTGTGTGTCTGTTACTCACTAGGCACTGACTATCCCCCTGCATCCTAGCTCACGAAGCTGAGCTCAGCCTTCATCCGGAAGGAGCCCTTTGGCCTGGTGCTCATCATTGCACCCTGGAATTATCCTTTGAACTTGATGATCATGCCTTTAGTGGGAGCCATCGCTGCAGGTGAGTGGGCTTTTGAGCCCCCACAGTCTGACAGTCCTTCCCAAAGAGGGCATCTGGAGTTCCCTGGAGGATGCAGGCACCAGCATGGCCTCTCTGCTTCCCCATTGGCTCCTGCAGGGAACTGTGTGGTGCTGAAGCCATCAGAAATAAGCAAGAACACAGAGAAGGTGCTGGCAGAGCGGCTGCCCCAGTACCTGGACCAGGTGGGCATGGTGCTGCCTGTCAGCACCTGGCAGCCCCACACCCCTGTCCCGGCCAGTGGGGGGGGTCCCGCTGCCCTGGGTCTGCCTCCTGAGCTCTCGTCCTGCCTTGCAGAGCTGCTTTGCTGTGGTGCTGGGTGGGCCCGAGGAGACCGGGCAGCTGCTGAAACACAAATTTGACTATATCTTCTTCACAGGTGAGGGTGGCCCTGGCCAGGATCCTGGGGATGGGGGACAGCAGAGAATGTCTGTGAAGGACTTGGGGGATGAGGCCACAGGCCAGGGTAGGGAATGAGTCAAGAGGTACAGGTGTCCCTGAGGGTGGCTGTCCAGGCCTCCTGAGAATCTTGGAGAATCTGGGGTGGCCAGGATGGAGACAGACTCTAGGAGGTAGGTGGAGCAGCCCAGAAGTCGGGCTGGGGAAGGTCTCTGTGGAGAGAGGAGGTCAAAGTTCCTGCCTAGACCAGCTGACCAGGTGAGGATGGTGCCTCTTGGCCATGCCCTCAGGGAGCCCTCGGGTAGGCAAGATCGTCATGGCAGCCGCAGCCGAACACCTGACTCCCGTCACCCTGGAGCTGGGGGGTAAGAACCCCTGCTACGTGGATGACAGCTGCGACCCCCAGACCGTGGCCAACTGTGTGGCCTGGTTCCGCTACTTCAACGCTGGCCAGACCTGTGTGGCCCCCGACTACATCCTGTGCAGCCAGGAGATGCAGGAGAGGCTGGTGCCTGCCCTGCAGAATGCCATCACGCGTTTCTACGGAGACAACCCACAGACCTCCCCCAACCTGGGCAGAATCATCAACCAGAAACACTTCAAGCGTCTCCAGGGACTGCTGGGCTGTGGCCGCGTGGCCATCGGTGGCCAGAGCGATGAGGGAGAACGCTACATTGGTGAGTTTCCTGCCCCATTGCTGGCCCACAGCCCACCTGGACTGAGACCCTTCCATTCTGGAGAGGGCCACTCTGGACCTCACGTGTGAGCTCACAGCTGACTTCTAGCTTCTGGTGCTGGGAGTTCCCCGCCCTGTGGTTCACGGTCTGTGAACGCTCAGTTCCAAACACCTGTTCCACAGCTCAAACCCATGGAGCTACACCCATTGGTGTGCAGGGGGTGGCTTAAGTTCCTGTCCTACTCTCTGTTGTCCCATATCCCATAAGGCCAGAATCCCCGACACTCAGTCTGGAGTCCTCAGAAGTCCGACCCTGATCCCCCATCCTGGAGCCCAGGCTATCTTTCTGTCGGAGCCCCTATCCCTCAGCGTGTCCTGCCTGTGGAGAGGGTGAGTTAGCCCTCGTGTTGCAGCCCCCACAGTGTTAGCGGATGTGCAGGAGACCGAGGCTGTGATGCAGGAGGAGATCTTCGGGCCCATCCTGCCCCTGGTGACTGTGAGGAGCCTGGATGAGACCGTTGAGCTCATCAACCGGCGGGAGAAGCCTCTAGCGCTGTATGCCTTCTCTAAGAGAAGCCAGGTGGGCCCAGTCTCCAGGAGTGGGTGAGGAGGCAGCGGAGAGCACACAAGCTCTCTGGACAGTCACAGAATTAGAGGGATGCTGGCTTGGGAGGCCCTGTTCTTCCCTTGCCTTCCAGAGGCGCTGAGGTCCCCTCCCACATTCTATCTAGAGCACACATGTTTTCCTGGGCGCCACGCCTGGCTGAGCAAAGTGTCCTATTTTCCTTTTTTCTCTTTTGAGACAAGGTCTCATAGTTCAAGCCTCATACTCATTATGTAACTGAGGTGGCTCCAAGCTCCTGATTCTCCTGCCTTCATGTCCATAGTTCTGGGCTAATGGAGGTATCCATATCTAGTTTCAGGTGGTATAGGGATCAAATTAAGGCCTCAAGCGTGCTAAGCCAGCACTAAGCTACAGCCCCAAGCCCTCAGCAACAATTTTGTATAAAACTTTTTATTTGTATAAAAAGTTAAAACCCAGCAGCTACCTCATATCCCTACCCTGGGAATCCTCCGTGACCCCTGGTACCTCACTGACACAAGGCACATCCGGTGTGCTTTAGAAGGTTCCCTTTCTCTCCCAGGTGGTCAAACAGGTGCTGGCCCGGACCAGCAGTGGGAGCTTCTGTGGGAATGATGGCTTCATGCACATGACCCTGTCCAGCCTTCCTTTCGGAGGAGTGGGTAGGTGGCAGCAGATCTCTGCCCTTCTGGGCTGATTCAGGACACATCCCATCTGCTACACTAATGCAGAAACATGCAGCCCACTCTGGGTGCCGAGCGCAGCGGGCAGGCGAGGAAGCCCTCTCCACCCGCTGTGTCCCCTCTAGCCAGCCTCCCTCCCCCGTCCCCGCAGTCTGTGGTGGGAACTTCCAGGTGTGCTGGCACTTGAACACGTGGGTGAGGAACAGAGAGGCCGTTTTGTGGCTTTTAAGGAAACACACCCGTGGCTGCCAGCCACTGAGCACATTAACTTCTGTCAAGCAACACTTATCCTCAGCCATCCCTCCCACACACAGCCATGGATGTTTGCACTCAATGATGGGGCTTCTCCCTTGCCCCTTCTGCCTTCCCACGTCCCTGTGAACCCATTCCTGGGCGTCTCCACTTCCAGGAGGCCTGGGATGTGAAGATTTGAGCCCCACAGCCGCATGGGTGACCTTGGCGTCCCCTTTCCCTGTGAACTACTTCGTTACTGAAAGGGTATCCTGGTCCCTCTAACTGGTGAATCTCAGTGGTGGAGTGAGTGACAGAGGGCCCTAACCCTCCTGGTCTGTCTAGAGGACCTACCTCAGTTCTGTCTTCTGTGGCAGCCACTGGGCTTGGTCCTAACACGTCACCCACCGCCAAGGCTCTTGTCACCAAGCCTGAATCCTTCGGGCGCTCACACTATCATCTAATTGACAACCTCCTGGCCTCTTTCACTCCAGAAATCCAAGCTTCATACCTCCCCCCCCAACACACACACACTTCAGCCAAGCCGTTCCTCTGGACTTCCCAGGCTGGGTCCTTGTCCTTTCTGACACTGGAAACTCTACAAGTCTGAAGATTCACTTACTGTCTACCACAGCCCTGGGAGGAGGGTGTCACCGTCACAGAAGACTGAGGCAAAGTCACACAAGGTGGCATAGCTCTTCAGGACAAAGCTGAGATCCCACACACACACTCCCACCCTGGCGGCCTGGCTTCACTGCCTGCCTATCCTGCACCAGCAGCTGATGAGCTGCTGACGGGGCAGGCTCAGGGCTCAGCCTTTTGCTTGACGAGCGGGGAAACGGGGGCTGACAGCCAGGTCTGTGTGATGTCTACTCAGCCGTCCACTAAAGGCTTGACCCTGCGTCCTTGCTGCCCACAGGATCCAGCGGCATGGGCAGGTACCACGGCAAGTTCTCCTTCGACACCTTTTCCAACCAGCGCGCCTGCCTGCTGAGCTGCCCCGGGATGGAAGAGCTGAATGACCTCCGTTACCCACCCTATAGTCCCCGGAACCAGCAGCTGCTGAAATGGGTCTTGGGCTCCCAGAGCTGCACCATCCTGTGAATGACACCCGATTCCTCCCTCCTGCTGCCCCAGCCCAGAACTACCTGAGCTTTCAGCTGCTCCCAGATTCCCAGTGGTTCCCAGGAGGCAGGTGACTGGGCCAGCCTGTCATTGGTTGATTCCTCTGAACAGACCTGCAGTCAGGCAGGACTTCCTGGTGGCTGGTCCAGTCCCTTCCCACAGCACAGTGCCCTCAGCAGCCTCTTGACCCTCTGCTTAGACAGGTCTGCTGACAGAGGAGCCCCTCCCTCCAAGGTTGGGCAGATCTGCTGACTGAGGGGGGGGGGTGGAGAGGTGGTGGGGCTTTCTCTGTCAGCTCACAGGGTCCCAAAAGACAGAGCAGCCTCTCACAGCTGGAGGGTGGCTTTGTCCCCCCTGAAGTGGCATGATCTAGAATCAAGACCAGCTTAATTGGTGGAATCTGTCTGAAGCGTGTTCATTAGTTCCTTTCCTGTGGCTTCTATCAAATGACCTGAAATAGGCAAGTTCAAGGGGGAAGGATTCCCTTGGAGCTCACCATCAGAGGGTTCAGTCCACCTCAACGTCTGAAAGTTCAGGGTCTTGGCTGAGAAGATGAGAGAGGGTCATCCACAGAGTGCTAAACTGAGTCACAGATGTCCTCAGGAGAGAGAATCTGAGGGTAGGGATGTAGTTGGGTATCTGCCAAGCATGTGAGAGGTCGGGATTGCGGAAAGAGAAAGGTGTGTGTGGGGTGATGAGTTCTGAGAGAAGACAGAGAGCAAGGATTAGAGGAATCCTGAGACAAAGGTTAAGGGGGGGGGGGGGACGGATTTCAGTGAAGTGGCTTCCGGCCAAGGATCCTTGGCAGTCACCAGGAGCTGGAAGAGGCAGGGGAACCATCCACCACAGCCTTTTGTTTTTCAAGACAGGGCTTCTGTGTGTAGCCTTGGCTGTCCTGGCTTTGTAAACCAGGCTGGCTCTGCTGAGATTAAAGGCATTCACCGCTCTGATGGCCTGTGCCCTACAAGGCTTTTAGGGAACAGGGCATTAGTACATTTTTAGGTTTGGGGTTTTTTGTTTGTTTGTTTTTTCCTTTCTGAAACAGAGTTACAATATGTAGTCTTGGCTATTCTGGAACTCATAGCAGTTCTCCTGCCTGAGCTTCTCCAGAACTGGACAATAGGTGTGAGCTACCACACTTGGTTTGGTTGTGGATTTCTGTCTCCAGCATTGTGAGAGAACACAGCTTTGTGCTCTCGGCCACTTTGGGACATTTGTCCCTGCGGCCTGCACAGGACAGGACGCACGCTAATGACTTGATTTCACACTCTGACCATTGCTTTCGGGATGACGGCTGTGCCTGTGCGGGCTCCTCTCTGGCTCAGTTTTCCTTAAGCTGCGTCTCTACTGAGTTAGGATCCACACAGCCTGCAGCCTACACGCTGGGCAGCTGCACAGCCTGGGACAGGAAGTCATCCCTGGGACCCTCTGCTGC